GTCAACCCTATTATTAACCCATTTTACAGATAAAACTGAGGTATTAGAGATAAATGTCACAGATAGGATTTGAATACAGCTTTAAAGAAGTAATTAGTAGGGCTGGAGATATGGAATAGTGGGTAAAGTACTTGCTGTGCAAGCATGGGGTCCTGAGTTCAAATCCCATGGGAAGTAAAGGAGGAAAATCCCCAGAGATTCTCAGGCCAGCTAACCTGGCATATGCAGTGACAAACAGATCCTTTCTCAAACAAACTTAAGATGGTCCTCTGACCTCTATGTGTATGCTCAGGCTTGCATACATCACACACATTCATGAATAAACATATCACACTCACAAACACATTTGAAGGAGGGATCAATGCTTATACACGGGGACTCCCAGCTACTTGGAAGGCAGAATTTGACCTTCTAATACATTCATATCCCACCTCCAGATAGTCTTGGCATTATAGACATTAAAAGGACAATTGGGGTCCATTCTCTGACAGCCTGGGGCAGTTTGGTGGGAAAGACATTTACTCACTTTGTTGCTTTGGTGACAACTCAGATGCAGAGGTGTGGTCGAGGATCTTCACTCTTGAGTTGTTGGAGCTGTCACTGTTGTCCTGGGAGTTGTCACTTCCCTTACATTTAACTGAACCAAGAGAAGAGAACACAGACTTCCACAGAAATTATGGCTGCATGAAAGATTCTAAAGCGGTGTGGAAGGCCGATATCTTTCAGTCTGCAAACTCATTTTGGAATGTAAAGAATTCCTTTGGGTTGAGCTCCTTAGACTGTGTCACTGCGCTGTCCCTGAACTATAAAACATGAAGAAGCTTCTCTTTTAAAGGAAAGTCCGGGTGCTGTGGGAGTTGAAGTGACCTTAGCCATAAGTAGAAATTTACTTAAAGGCTATAGATGTCATCCATGCCACCTGTAGTCACTGCAGGGACAGAATTATCACTCAACTCAGCAACAGTTGGTGCCAGGGGTATCTCAGCTGTGCTCACCAGCCAGACTGGCCCCCACCCCAGCATAGCGCCAGTCCTGGGGCTAAGGCTCCGCCAGAACAGAGCTGAGTCTCCTCCCTTCAGTCACTAGAATCTGAAGATTTCTGTTCCTGTTTGGTCCCAATGAGGCACTTTAATTACCTAGTCCCAGAACAGGTGTGTGGTGATTTGAATGAGAATAGTGCCCATGAGCTCATACGTTTGAATGTTTGGTACTCATTTGAAGGAACTGTTTGGGAAGTTACTGGGAGGTGTGGCCTTGTTGGAGGAGGTGTGTCATGAGGAGTAGGATTTGAGGGTTCAAAAGCTCACACCATTTTCAGTTAGCACTCTCGTGTCCCTTTCTCACAGTCTCCGTCTCCTCTCTCACTATCTCTTCTCTCTCTTTCTGCATGTCTGCCTGTCTGTCCCTCTGTCCGTCTGTCTATCTCTTTGTCTCCCCACCTGTGGTTAAAACTTTAGATCTTAGCTACTGCTCCAACACCATGCTTTCCCGACTGCTGCCATGCTCCATGCCATGGTGGTCATGGATTCAGCCTCAGACACTGTAAGCAAGCCCCAATAAGCTTCGTTCTAGAAGCTGCCTTGGTCCTGGTGTCTCTTCACAGCAGTGGAAAGGTAACTAAGAGAAGGAGTCCGTCTGGTTTGAGGATTGCAGGCCACACCTACCACTTATCGTAACTCATCTAGGAGAATCCAATATGGCCCTAACAACTAACCCTCACAAGTGCCGTCTGCTGGTCCGTGTGAATTCATTGCATAAAGCAGTGTCTAAAGGAGTTCCCATGCTATGCCGAGGCTTTGGGTACCAACCAAATGTGTGCCCGATTGTTTCAGGAGCTAAGATGCAAAGTCAGCATCTTAGATGTCCCTGTGCTCAGATGTAACAGCACTAAGAGCTCTGTTGTGCAGTAGCTGGGACGTGAGCCAAGTTCTAAGCCTGTGTGTATCCACCAAGGGAAGTAACCTATGTCACTACAGGGGCCATGAAGTGCTTCTGTTTTGTTTTTCAATCTCAGGTTAGAAGTAAACAACTACACCTTGTTCTGACCTGGTATCCTTCTAAGTATGGAGTCACTCTACAAGACTGACTGAGGACATTCTGGCAAAAAGTGCATTGTCTTTCCACTGATTTGTGCCTCGCTTAAGAGCAAGCTGTGTCCGGACTGGGTTCTGCCTTAGTAATGCTATGTCTTCTCTGCCTCTAAAAACATATGACTGAGTTTGGGGTTTTGTTTTCGGTTCACTTTAGACAGTGTCTCCTGTAGCCCAGGCTGACCTTCAGCTTACTATATAGCTGATGACAACATTAAACTCTTTGTGTCCCTCCTACCAGGTACTGAGATTGCAGGTGTGTACCCCACACACACATACACCCAGTCTAAAACGGACCATAACAGTATCTAACACAAAAGTCCATTGTGCACAGCATGGGTAGCTCCATAATTGGTATGTAGTCACTAGTCAGTAGCCTTAACTGTCATAGTTGGCACTGTCATTCTACACAGCCCCTGTCCCTTAAGCTGGAAGTTAAAGTAGTCAGTATAAGAACAAGGTAGTGTGCTAAATCACACATCACATTTCATCATTCCATCCTGTTGCATATTTGATCTTGAGAGGTTGATGCAGGAACTAATGATTTCCAGACACCCGCCACCCAGATCCATGCAGGATCATTCCCTTGTAGTTAATCATTTCTCTAACCATCGCTTCAATGTGTAGGAAAAGGTGGTAAGCCCTAGGCAGTCTACTGTCACAGCATACCTGCTCTGTGATCACATGTGGAGCTTGCCCACCAGCCCCCTTCAGGGAGCTTGTTACTACTTTCCTCCTGTTGAAAGAAAAAGGAGGAGGAAAGAGACCTTTCTAAACACTCCTGCTAATTAGAAGTCAAACCAGTCAGAACCCATTTCTTGCCTTTTTTATTTGCAAATGGTAAGAAATGTCAGGGGTGTAGAAAGGTAGCTCAATTGGTATAATTACCTGCTGCCCAGCCTGGTGACCTGAGTTTGACTCCTGGACTTAATACAGAGAACCAATTCCCACAAATTGTCCTCTGATCTCTATGCACATGTGCATGAGTACACGTACACACACACACACACACACACACACACACACACACACAAATTCACGCACACACGCACTCACACACATACACGCATACATACATACACATACTCACATACACACATACATACACATACTCACACACATACACACTCACACATACTCATATACATACACACACACATATACACACACTCACACATATTCACATACATACACACACACATATACACACACACACATACACACTCAGAATAAATGTAAAAAACAGTTTAAGAAAAGGGAAAAATGGAGGTAGTAGTTGTTCTGATTCATAAATTAGGGTTTTTGATCCACAGCTAATGTTAGAAACAAGTTTGGGTCTCAAAGAAAAAGAACAACTTCTGACCCATGTGTCTAGACAAGGCAATACTCCTGATCAGGAGGATGCACTCAAACACTGAATGTGCTCAGAGACAGGAAGTGCATTGGTTTCTTACTCTAACTTGGCTGGTAACTGTCTTTTCCCCATTGGCTGGAGTCCAACTTCAAGGTGTTATTCCATTAGCTAGTCTGAAAATAATTGGCACACTGGAAATGGAAGGAAGACAGGGAAAAGGCTGCAGAGCTTCACATTTTCAGACTAGATAGATCATTGGGCCTTTTGAGGAAACACAGATTTTACTGGGTGGGGAGGGACAGAATATTTGCATTAAAACTTGCAAGATTTTAATAACTTGTTCTAAACACAAATGTTATAGTGTTGTTTGATAAGAAAGACCATATTTTATATTTCAGCACTGGAGAAGGCGTCCTCATTGTCCCCTGCCCCACACTGGTTGACTGGGATTGGTTAAAGCAAGATTGCAGTGTCAAAGTGACAGAGAAGTACTTGCTTTTGATGTACATTAGAAGGAGTAGCACCCATGGTTCCTGTTTCTAATGCAGCCTGGGCTTTACTCGGCAATATTCCCATAGTGTTATGATCTGCCCATCCCCTTCTCTCCTCTCATCTGTGAGGGCCAACGGTAGAAGCCACAATCACAGATTCACTGTGCTGGAGAAGTGTGTGTGTGTTGGGGGGAAGGGTGTGCTAGCCAGCATGAGCCTGTTACAGGTAGACACTGAGGGATGCTGGGAGAACCTGGCAGCCAACATCAGCTTTGATTCGTTAAGTTAATAGGGCACCTCAGTTCTCTGTTCTTCCCAGGTTTGAGACCCAGCATCCACCCACATCCATTTATAAATTATGCAGGGAAGTAAGGCTGGAAGAGTCAAATACAGACTCAGATTTGCTTGAGTCAAAGAGCTAGAATAAAAAACTCCCAACACATTCTCATCCCCTTCCCCCCCCCCCCCGCCCCCGTTCTGTTCACCACCCGGAATGCCAGAGCAAACACACTAAATCAACATCTCTTCGGTGTCTTTGTGGTTCCTGTTTTGTCCAAGTCAAGTTGCAGGAGCTGACATCTTAACCCAAACCATCAAGTGGTGCTTTTAGACTTACATCTACCTACACAAAAAAAATCAAACATGTGGAGACAGGTGTGCACACTCTGGCCAGCATTTCAGTTGACATGTCTGTGTGTCAGTATGAAGACTAACTTACCTTTCTTTCTCACAGCATCTCTATCAGGTGTGCTCTAGCCTCTAGAATAAGCATCTTAAAGGTGGGGGTGGAATTCTAATATCAGGAGTTGACCCCTGGAAGTGATTTAATTCAGCATAAACACAGACCTGGGAAAGCTAGCATAATAGAGGAGAAAAGACCACCAAAGAGTATCTGGTAGGACTAGGCTGAGTTCACTTGTGTGGGTTCGTCCAGGTGGAATTCTCCACCTGTGTGCTGTTTGGGATCATTTTTTGAGATAGAGCAAAGCCCAGGTGGCTGTCAGAGGTGGAAGATGCAATTGAGACCTATGATGTTGCTAATTGATTATATCTTTTACATTCCAGGAAGACCTGTCCCAGGTGGTTGATCCCAACGTGGTGGCAGAGCAGCCCAAGGCATTGGAGTCACCTGACAATGTGGTAATTTATGTTTGGGATTTACTCTGTTGGGATGGTGTGTCCTGTGAACTAAATACCACAAGAAAAGGAGATGGTTATGATGTCAAATCCTTTCCTACTGGCCGTAGGTTAAGGTGTCTTAAAACCTGGTGTGGATGCACAGTTATGTCACTGATTACAGAGGTATGCAGAAGTGTCCTTTCTTTACCATTCTGTCCTGGTAGTCTAACCCTTTTAAAAGACTCCCTTGAGCCAACAAGATGGCTCAGCAGGTAAAGGTGCTTTGACCTCCACACCCAATCTACAGTACACATACACACACACACATACATACATACACACATGCACATATACACACAAATATATATACATACATACAGACATATACACAAACATATGCACATGCACAAAAATATTTATTCCCTTTTTTAAAATTTATATTTGAAACTAGCTTGTTTTACATGTCAATCCCAGTTCCCTCTCCCTCCCATCCTTCCCTGTCCCCCCTCAACCTCCATCCCATCCCCTTTCTACTCCCCAGGGAGAGTGAGGTCTTCCATGGGGGATCTTCAAAGTCTGTCATATCATTTGGAGCAGGGCCTAGCCCCTCCCACGTGTGTCTAGGCTGAGATAGTTATCTATCCCTCTATGTGGAATGGACTCCCAAAGTACATTCGTATACTAAGGATAAATACTGACCCACCACCAGAGGCCCCATAGACTGCCCAGTCCTCCTAACTGACACCCACATTCAGGGGGTCTGGGTTTGTTCTATGCTGGCTTTCCAGCTATCAGTCTGGGGTCCATTAGCTCCCCCTTGTTTAGGTCAGCTGTCCCTGTGGGTTTCTCAAGCCTGGTCTTGACCTCTTTGCTCATCACTCCTCCCTGTCTGCAACTGGATTCCAGGAATTCGGCTCAGTGTTTAGCTGTGTGTGTCTACTTCTGCTTCCATCAGTTACTAAATGAAGGCTCTAGAAAGGCATATAAGGTAGTTAATCTCATTATCAGGAAAGGGTGTTTAAGGTATCCTCTCCATTATTGCTTAGATTGTAGATCTCAGGATGTTTTCCTCTTGCCAGATTTCTCTTTAAGCCTAAAATGGCTCCCTCTATTGTGGTATCTCTTTTCTTGCTCTCCTTTATCTTCCCCCTGACTTCCTGCTCCCTCATTTTCTCCTCTCTCCTCCTCTTTCTCCTAACTCCCTCTCCCCTCCCACCATGCTCCCAATTTGTTCAGGAGATCTTGTCCCTTTCCCCTTCTCTGGGGGACCATGTATGTCTCTCTTAGGGTCCTCCTTATTTCCTGGCTTCTCTAGTGTTGTAAATTGTAGGCTGGTAATCTTTTGCTCTAGCACAAAAAAATATTTTTAAGACATCCATTTGTGGTTAAACTTTAAGACTGCTGTATCTTACACAATGCCATGAATAAAATTTTCAAATGGAAGAATTTGTAGTTTGATAAAGATACAATAACTTTAGTGTTTCTTATATTTTAAATTTCATTTTTCTTTAAAAACTAGAGTTCTGAACACCTTGCATGTGCCAGGCCTTACAGCTTATGAACTGGTTGGTTGGTTGGTTGGGTGGGTGGGTTTTGGAGGGAGAAGGGATCAGGGCCTTATGTAGCCCAGGTTTTCCTCAAATTCTTTAACCAAAGTTACCGTGAACTCCTGCCTCTGCCTCTCAAGTGCTGGAATGTCTGACTTCAGACCCTCACCCAGCAAGCTATCAACTGTGTCTATCAAATCTTTATTGCTATTAATCGTTTTCCTTGCTTTTAATTCTTGGCTTTCACTTCTATGTACTAGTTTATAGTTAAAGAATTGTCTTTATTTTTAATTATGTGTACTTTAAGTGTCTGTACATGAGTCTGTATACATGTCCTAATTAGGGTTACTATTGCTGTAATGAAACATTAAGGCAAGCGGGACAAGAATCTGGAAACAGGAGCTGATCCAGGGGCCATGCAGGGGTGCTGCTTACTGGCTTCTGCATCATGGCTTACTCATCCTGCTTTCTTATAGAACCCAGGACAACTTGCCTAGGGTTGTTCCATTCACAGTGACTTAGACCCTCTCCCATCTATTACGAATTAACAAAATGCTCTACTGGTTTTCCTACAGCTAGATCATTATGGAGTCCATTCTCAATTGATTTTCCCTCTTCTTTAAACGTTTAAAGTCTCTCAGCTGTGGGCTCTTAAAAATTAAAAAAACAATACCTTTTTACTTAAAGGGAGAAGACCCAGAACATAATCCCAAACTTATGGGAGTCCCTGCACACTACGGCTGGCAGAGGAATGATCCACCAGAGGCATGAAGGAAGTTTAGCAAGACTTAGTTAGCTGGGCTGGTTTAAACTACCAGAGTCTGACCCTGAGCAGTTTAGTTTTTACATATTTAAACACAGTACAACTTCGGACAAGACTTCCATATGATAATTATCACAACAAAGTTGCATGATCACATGGAAACTCCTTTGCTAAGCACCTGTGAGCTCTAACATAAAGATACATACTATTGACTGAGAAACACTGCTCAGGGTGAGGGTCTAGTAAGGAAGTGTTTGTAGTAAACTCTTTTGCAAAGTGCACAGGACTTCTTTCATAAAATGGGTTCTGTTGATGAGAAACAATGCTCAGAAGTCTAGGAGATTCTACAAAATATTACCAGGCTATTAACAACACGATATCACGCCCAGTTCACAAACTCAGGAAATACCTCAGTGTCCAATGTCTAGAATGTACTCCCAATCTCCTGTACTCCTACAGAGTTTGTACAGCCATCCATAGCACACACAGCTTGTCTTCTAGGGTTAGGCTGGCTCCACTCCAGCTACTGTTGTCTTTGATGCTCATCTCATGGTACTGGCATCTGCAAAATCCTGGGGCTTCATCTGCTCCTGAGGTTGCACCTTCAACAATGGCCTCTCCTGACATTTCACATTGCCTCAGTTGCTTCGCATGACTGCTTCATGACTTCAAAACCAGAACCATCTGGGTGACGCTTAAACGTGACCAAGTTGAGCAGCCAGCATGAGCTACAACTCAGTCCCCTCTGGAACAAGAGTTTCTGTGTGTTTGCCCTGAGGAAACACTTCCCAGAATATCTCACCTTGATGATGTTGGGCTCTTAATCACCACCTGTTTTTCAGCTCTAGCTGAGGAGCATCAATTACCCAAGAAGAGCAAAGGTTTCACTTCGGTAGTATAGGTCTCTTGTTAATCCCAGCTGATCTTTCAGCTCCAGATGACCAGAAAGCATGCACCCGTAATTCACAATAACAAATTTACCTCTGAACTTCACCATTTCTCTCAACACTCTTATCTTCCAAGCTCTCACGGAACAGCTATCCAAGCTTTGGCTTTTCCAGCTCAAAGTTCCAAAGTCCTTCTACAAGCCTACCAAAAACAAAGGTTCAGTCTGTCATAGTAATACCCCAGAACCCTGATACCAATGTCTGTCTTAGTTTCTATTGCTGTGATGACACACTATGACTAAAAGCAACGTGGGGGGAAATGGATTATTTTACTTACACTTCTACATCACAGTTCATCAAAGGCAGTTGGGGCAGGAACTCAAGCAGGTTGTGAATCTGGAGTCAGAAGCCAGGACCACCTCCCAGGTTTGGCACCACCCACAGAGGGCTGGGCCCTCCCTTGTCAGTCATTAAGCAAGCTGATCTTACAGAGGCATTTTCTCTGTTGAGATTCCCTCCTCTCAGATGACTCTAGTTGCTGTCAAATTGACACAAAAGCACTCAAATGCCTGCCAAAGCCAGAAGAGCGTGTCTGATCTCCTAGAGTTGGAGTTACAAGTGATTTTGAGCTACTTGGTAGGTGCTGGGAAGCAAAGTTACATCCTCTGCAAGAACAAGCAGTACTGGATTCGTAACTGCTGCCTCATCCCTCTAGCCTTAGTTTATGTTTTTATGACTAAAATTTCCATTATTCAGGGACTATAGATGACAAGAATATATAGAAAGTATACAATAGTGGCACATGCCTTTAATCCAAGCACTTGGGAATCGGAGGTTGGTAGATCTCTGAGTTCAAGACCAGCCTGATCTACTGAACTAATACGAGGGTAGTCAGGTCTAACCAAAGAAACCCTGTCTTAAAATACCACCACCACCCAAAAATTTTATTTCAAACATTTCCAAATGAAGTGCCTCTGAAAGTTCTCTAAGATTATGTGCTAAACACCTAAGTAAAATAAATATTTGTAGGCCTGGGGAGGTGACTTTGCAGGCGAATACTTAGCTAGCATGTCTGAGGCCCTGGGGTCATCCCTTGCACCACAAAAAGAGAACGTTAGAAATACTAAGGTCTGCACTGGAGAGATGATTTAGTGGTTAAGAGCACTGGCTGCTCTTCCAGAGAGGACCTGGGTTTGATCTACAACACCCACATGGTGGCTCACAATCACCTGTCACTCCAGTTCCAGGGCATCTGATGCCCTCTTCTGGCCTCCAAAGGCACCACATAAACATGGTACACAAAATACATGCAGACAAAATACCTGTGTACACAAAATAATAAAATAATTTTAAAATAGCTACATTCAGTTCACCCAACAACGTTGACAGTTCAAACCCTCCTGCTGCACTAACACTGCTGGAGTGCCAACACTTTGGACACTCACTGGTTCAGGGTGCGCAGCAGCCATCTCTGTAGTTTGAGGGCGTTTTAAACCCCATCTGCCCATTCTTTTCTCTGCTGAAGAATGTGCACTGTCACCTCTGGAAGGTGATGGGGCTTTTCCTGAGACTGCAGACGAGATAGCCCATGGGAGTGGGCAGCCCTACATCAAAGCCAAACCAGCTGGCTCCGATGGAAATGGAATATTCTGTTTCTAAAGTTTCTGACCCAGAGCTTGCCAGTCGTGTATAATCTGTTGAGGAGGTGGGGTACAGGCCTTGCTAGAATTAATTCCTCTTTCACCTTTGTGACCAGCTCACCATGTGCAGCTGTCCCACTAGCAATGTTCAGATGTGGAAGCCAAGTGCCCTCTGCATTCACAGAGCCAGTTAGTGACTGGGAACTTCCCGACCCTGTGTTTCTTTAAGTGTGATGTTGTGAAGACTGACCGTCTTCCCCAGAGAGGCACTGATAAACACAACTCTGTGTGACTACATGTTTTTTAGAGTCCTGAGTTAAGTATCCATGAGCCACTATGCTGCCCCCCCCCCCGTTTTTAGTAATACTCCCTCCATATATACTTTATTCTTGTCAGTACATGTGTAATGGGAAAAGACTTCTCAAGTAAGGATCCAGTCAGTATTAAAGATGATGATAGAGGGCTACCAGGATTGTTCACCAGTGAAAGCCTTGTCCTCCTGAGTTCTGTTCCCAGAACCCACATAAAAAAAAGCCAGGTGCAATATCTAGTACCTACAGTGGTCAGAATTGTCTTGGTTCTTGCATACTGCATGCCTTGTACTGAGGAACCACCTTCCAAAGATAGAATCTTGAAGTGTTATGGTTCTGGAGCAGACACTTCTAGAGTTCAGAGACAGCCTGGCACTTACTGGAATCCAGCAGGCAAATCACATCACTACCTCCACATTTTGTGTAACTCTTGAGAGGGCATGGGGCTCTTCATTTTTCTTAGCTGGTTAATGTTAATATTCACTGAGGGTGACGTCAGCAAAAGCACAAAACTGCAAGTTAATGTTCAGCTTATATCCTGCTCCCCCACCTCTCATTTTTTGTTTTTTGTTTGTTTTGGTTTTCTGAGACAGGGTCTCTCTGTAGCTTTAGAACCTGTCCTGGAACTTGCTCTGTAGACCAAGATGGCCTCAAGCTCACAGAGAGCCACCTGCCTCTCTCCAGAATGCTGGGACTGAAGGTGTACACCACCACCCAGCAGCTGCTCCCCTTTTTTGACCAAGCCTCCAGGTATCTCCGGAGCAAAATTAAATAGGAGGCGATACAAAAGTCAACCTGGCTTTCCCTTGCCACTTCTCTGAGCATCCAGTTGTCTCAAAACACATTTTTGAAGCTACCTTTCTTTTGAGAATGATAATGCAACAATTTTACAGTGCTCTTATTGCTTCTCTCCCTCTTGACATTCATGTAATTTTTCTTCCTTTCGTAGGCTGCCTGCCAGATGAAACAGGAAACATGCTCATCGCAAGCCCCCTTCAACTCACAGGAGACATCATTAGCACCAAGTCCATTGTGTCAGGCAGAAGACACAGACGTCACAGATGCTGGTATGAATCTGTCCAATCAAAACTGGATCCTGAACCTTTGGAGAAGGAAACTTTGTGATGCTTTGAGAAAAGAATGAGACAGAAAGCAGACACGCAGCTCTGTAACCCTCTTAGGCATCAATACATTTGAGCTTGAACACTCCACTTCACCATCTGCATAGTAAATCCTCCATAGAGGCATTTGATACTAAAGCACACACTGCCGGCCAGTCTCTCCCCAAGACTGAGGTTAAGTCATGGATAATGTCTCCAAAATCATAAGGAAGGCAGTTTTTAACACTACATATATTGATATAAGCCATTGAGTATTCATTTTTCAGTAGAGAAGTTGGAATTCAGAGCCAGGCATGGTGGTACCTGTAATCCCAGCATTTGGGAAATGGAGGTAGGTAGATCAGGATTGTAGGGTCATCCTCAACTACATAGTGAATTCAAGGCCACCCTGGGCTTTAGGAAATCTAGTCTCAAAAAGAAAGTGGAGAAGGGAAGGAGGCAAGGATGGAACTCATGTTGTAGCTTAAATTATGATGAAGAGTGAGGTGGTAATAGAACTTCAAAGGAAGTGATCAGTATTTCCACTTTGCTTTTGTGTATTATTTGTCAATAAACATCCAAGGGTTAGGGATGCTGCTGCTGGAGAGATGGGTCAGTGCTTGCTGCTCTTGCTGAAGACTAGAGTTTGAATCCCAGCACCCAAGGCAGGCAGCTCACAACCATTTGTATGTAACTTGAGCTCTAAGAGATCTGACACTTTCTTCTGGTCTCCAGGAGCACATGCACTCACTACTCTCACCCATGCACATACATATGATTAAAAATAAATAAAATCCCAGCATTCAGGTAGGCAGATCTCTGTGAGGTAGAGGCCAGTCTGACCTACATAGTGAGTTCTGGACTAGCCAGAGCTACATAGAGGGACCTTATCTCAAAAACCAACAAACAAAAAGGCTCACCAATGACAAATGTATAACCCTGTGCTGACTAGCATGCTTTATTCGTAAACGTCACTCTGTAAGAAGTTTAGCAGTAGTTATTTGGTTTTATATTAAGGTACTTGATGAATATCAACCGCAAACAAACTGCAAGCCACAGATTAAATGTAGCCCGTCATCCTCTGTTTTTGCTTCATCTGGGAGCTAGAGATGGTTTTTCACTTTAAATACTGAAAGCAATTGAAAGACAATTTTATGAAAACTCCATTACATTCATTCTTCTACGCTCCCTAACATAGTATCATTGGGCATTGCTTACATACTGTCTGTGGCTGCTTAGCTGTTCCCATGCTCTATGACAGTGAAGGAGCTCGAACAGAAACAATGTGGCCTAAAATGCCCAAACTTGAATACCTGGCCATGATACAGACCAGGCAGGTCTGGTATTCATACCAAGTAATAGCCATCCGTGGCCATGAATTTTAAGTTCTAGAAACTATTTGTCTCTCATCTACTTAAAAATGTTTATTGAATACTTGGTATGAACCAGGCTCTGAGCTGATCTGTGCGAGAGAAACAAATGTAAAGATTGACTGGAAAAATGGCAGTTAAGAATGAACATTTGTAACTCTTACAGAGGACTAGATTTTGTTTGCTAGCAGTGAATGTGAAATAGGGCAGTTCATAACCACCTGTAACTCCAGCTTCAAGGGAATCTGGTGCTGTCTTCTGACCTCTGTCAGCACCAAGCACCCAGGTGCTGTGCTGATATACACACAGGCAAAGCACTCATACATATAAAATAATAAATCTCTTCAGGGGTGGTGGTACACACCTTTAATCCTAGCACTGGTAGGCAGAGGCAGGTGGATCTCTGAATTTGAGACCAGCCTGAGCTACATAGTGAGTTATAGGATGTCCAGGGCTATGTAGAGGTTCCCCATCTCTAAAAACATAAAATTAAAATGAATCTTATAAAACAACCAAAAATTTACTTAGGAAGGACAGTAGGGTGGAAGGAGGGAAATGCCATCTCTAGTATCTTCCTGCCCTCTCTTTTTACTCAGAAGACTAAAGTAGTCACTCTTAAAGGCAGAGTAAAGTTCAAAAGCAGCCATGAATTGTACCAGTATTGTGTACCATGTTTATGGTAGATTAATGGGAAACATCGTGAAATATATAGGCTGAAAAAAAAGAAAGAAAGAAAAGAAAAATCTTAATGTTCTCTTTCTGAAGTCGAACTTCTTGTTATTCCTGGGACTGTGTCACTGCATTGCTCCATCTTAGCTAGGAGGTTGCCGCGCCTGCACGACCAGAATACCGAGCTTGGCGGAGGGTGTCGGGATTGAAACACTTAACAGACCACCTTGGGAAGTTAAGCAGAAGCTGCTGCCACCACTGTTTATTACAGAGAGTAATGGGCTTACATACCCAAGCCAGGGGATTGGGCTAAGCATAGGAGGAAGTCATGCACCACCCACACCTGGGGTCAAGGCCCAGGCACTGCATACCGGAAAGTTCTGAAAACAACCTTGTTTGCAGGGAAGTTGTACAGCTGGGTGGGGAGGAAGAGAGCTGTGAGGGACAAGTACTTAAATTTCCCAGCAGGAGGTCATTCGATCAACAAGTCCCCTGTGTACAGCAGTGGCAGCTGGGTGAGTCCTGGAGCAGGCCAGGCTGGAGGCCGGTGGGCATGTCACCCGCAGTGTCCAGCCACTCCTCACCTGCTGAGTAATGCCTACCTGCGGTTACTCTTCACAGTGAGCCAGTTTTACTACATAGGAATCTGCTGATTAGCTGCCTGAATCTACTTGTACACTTCTAACCCAGCTCCCTGTGTTACCAAATCATAAGCATTGATTAGAGAACCCTCACAGGTCCCCCTCCTATGCCAGCTTCCTTTGTTTTAAAACTGCTAGAAATTCTCTTCCTCCTTCTTATCTCCCCCTCCCTTCTCTGGAGCAGGGTGCTGGGGTGGGGGGCCGGGGAGCGAGCAGGTAGGGGCAGGAGACAATCAAAACCAAGCTCTCCTATAAGGAACTCCGTAGCCAGTATTGGAGCTCACAGGCCACACAGCCTGTTGCTCTACCTGTGTGGTACAGCAACATAATTAAACATAAATGAAATAATGGTTCTGTGTTTCAGTACGGCTTTATAGACACTGAAATTTTGATTTCATGTAAAATTTACCTGTCTTAAAATATGGTTTTCCTCTTTTTTTTTTTTTTTTCTTTTGAAACTACATAAGCGCTCTTGTTATTCTTGTTATGGACAGTAGCCTGCCAATACCTGCTATCACATAGGTAGGCAGGTCTAAGCATACATATGAATTCTGGTCTATGCTTTAGACACTACTGAACAGTAGGTGGCGCTCACTGTTGTCAGCCCCTATGGAGCTACACCCAAGTGGTGATCAGACTTGATTATTGCGAAGCTGCTTGCAGAGATCTCTTCTGTAGAGGTCTCTGCAGAGCACCTGATTCATGGAAAGTTCTAGTTCTTCACTAGAGTTAGGTTAGTTATACGCTAAATACACATTTGGAAATAGATAATGGATGTTTTTAATCATCCTTCTTGGCCTGGAAGCTCTTTTCAGGTATAGAAAAATGCAATTTTAAACAACGTTTGGGGTCTGGAGAGGTGGCTCCGCAGTTAAGAGCACTGGCTGTTCTTCCAGAGGATTAAGGTTTGGACCCCAACATCCATTGGGCACCTCACAGCCATCTGTAACTCCAGTTCCTGGGGATCCAGTGCTTCTGGCCTCTTTGAGCACTGCAATCACGAGCACATAGCCATATACTGACACTCAAATTACACCTACCTAAAAATAATTAAAAAAAAATAATAAGTCTGTAACCAAATAAATAAACCTCCATACACTATTATAACCCTCTTAATGAAATTTTTATTTATGGGCTCAGGAAGTAATTTTTTTCAAAATTTATTATAATACAAATATGTACATATATATGTGTGTGCATGTTTACCTGTGTAAATATGGGTTGAATAATCTTGACCAAGCACTTGGGACTAGGAATCTTTCGAATTTTGGAACATTTTCATATACATAATGAGATAGATTAGGAATAAGATCCAAATCTAAATAAACAATACATTTGTGTTTTATATACTATCACATGAAGTCATGTGTTGAGTCATTTATATTATCATGTCAGTTATCAAAACATTTCAGATATCTGGATGTTCCACCTGTGATATTAGAGATAAATTTTAAGTAATTTTTATTTTCACTCATATAATTTTTTAAATACCTTATGCATCTTAATTGGTGTGTTATACTCTGATTAAAAGTATTTAAACACAATTTTTTTCTTATTCCTTGTTTTTTTTTTTTTTTTTTTCAGTACGGGAGATTGAACCTGGGACCTCACGAGCCAAACATTCTTCTAAACTCAGTCTTCTGTCATAGTAGCTTTTATATTCATTGTAGTATATGCTTTTGTGTACCTAAATATTTAGTCACATTAAGTTGTTCCATGCCGATTTTCATGGTGTGTTTTGAGTTCTCTTTTAATAAAAGGATACCTAAAATTGATGTTGACAGATTTGGATAGTTAATGTTTTCATCTCAGAAAGTGCCATGGCACTGTTGTGTTTCATTCTGTGGGTGAAGAGAACAATGACCCAGCTTTTCCCTTCATGAGGCCTTGTGTGAAGGGTGTAAAGTAATAAACACAACCCTATGCTCTAATGAATGCAAGATGAGCTGCAACTCCAACTTGCTAATCATTTTGTCTTGTCACTTTCCAGGTAACTTCCAGGCTCCCCTCTCAGTGGACCCTGCAACATGTCCCATTGTCCCTGGCCAGGAAATGATCATAGAAATATCCAAGGGGCGCTCAGGGCTTGGTCTCAGCATTGTAGGAGGAAAAGACACGCCTTTGGTAAGTGTCTGAAAGTAAATTATGTCTACTGTCAGAGTCAGTTTCTGGGACTCTTTATGGCCTGAGATGCTTGTATTGAAGGCTTGACAAAATACAAATGCTCATTCCCTAAAGCATGAAAAACTCAGGAGGTGCAGGAACTACAGAAACCTGGTCACTTGCTCCTGTCTGCAGGCCTTGCCTCTCTGTGTCTACACACCTGTCCCAGAGCATGTTGGCCTGAGACTAAGGCGCCAGTGACCCACCCAGCCCAGAAGTATATGTTCTCTGAGCCTGAAAGTGTTATGCTTGATTAAAACATTGTGATTGGGGACATATATGTCCTAACTTTCCCTCTGCAGTCAGAAATGGCTACATGTGGCATCCTATGTGTGATGCCCCTTGCATGGAACTGTGGATGCTGAAGTTGCCCAGGCCCCACAGGCAGTTGAGTTGGCTGCCCCTTACAAAGGCCTTTGCTTCCACAAGGCTCTAAACACCTGCATTTCTTTTTGCCTAAGATGGGATACTGTGTCTGTCCAGCTTTTGTCATTGAGGAAGGAGAGACCTTTCCTTATGACAGCCTTTCTTTTGGGTGATATGACTAAGCTATATCATTAAACAACATAATGTACATATACTATTTTAGTAGTCTTGACTCACTGGGTTGTAGTAAAGCTCAGAGATTTTATAAACACCAGGAAATGGTTTATAACAGTGATCCTTGCAATACTAAAGTCATTGGAGTAGTATTGAGACACTATGCCCTGACATGGGTACTTGATCCCTTCTAAAGGCCTATGTTTCCCCATTTCCCCAAAGAGATACCTTAAATACTGTATAAATAAAGCTGTGTTTAAACAAAACAGGGAAATTAAATTTCAGAGTAGTTCTATACTGAATTCTTTCATGATACAAATGTTAATGCTCTGAGGTCTGGAGAGGTGGCTCTGTGGTTAAGAGCATGGGTTGTCCTTCCAGAGAACCCAATTTCTAGTACCAACATCTGGAACTCCAGTTCCATGGGATCCAGTACCTAGGCACGGCACACACATGGTGCACACACATGCACATAAAATAACAAACTTAACCATCTGATCTCATTGTTGTAAAGAAATCTCTTTTATGACTCAGCGAAGTTAGAGCTAGATTTTTCCAGAAGGCTCAGAAGAATGGCGTCAGCTCAGCTGAGTGACCATGGCCTTGCTGTCTTACCTCCATTGGTGTTAATACAGGTCTGTTCTGGGTGGGACCCTCCAGATCCCTGACCCAGATGTGTGTGCTGCACTCTGCCACTGCCATGTGCTCAGGCCTCCGGCTGAGGCCCCCAGCCTCCTCTTCCTGCAGCCCAAGGCCTTGCTGAGCATCTCACTCTGCTTCTCTTGCCATCTCAAGAAAAGCAAAGATAAAAGTTCTTCAGGAGCTTCTTGAAGTTCCTAATATATCATTCTGCCATTTGAGACTATAAATCCCACTGTCCTTGAAAGATAAGCACCACTTAAAATGAGAGATGGGACACAGATTTTATTTCCTAACCTCATCAAAAGCCTAAAGTTAGAATCACAGGAAATATGTAGGGCTGTCATTTATTTTGCAGCCAGAAAGAGGATAGATATGAAAAGTGCTTAAACACATTGTTCCTACAATGAAGATATTTTTCCCTTTTTAATACTCCCCCAAATTTTCATATGAAGCATGAGAACTAACACATGGGTCCTGTTATCCAGCCAGCAGGAAGTTTGTAAACAAAGGTGTGAGTTTGTGAAAAGAAGTTGCAGGAAATGGGCAGAACCTCTGCTGTTTGGGCTTATTTCTGCCCTGATGCAGGGAAGGGCACTTCTGACTCCTACCTCGCCCCTCCCCTTCCACCCTTCCCAATTAGAATCTCATGTCCCTTTTGTTTTGTAGCCAATAATCTTGGCCATCTGTAGAGCTAATCTCTTGACACCTCATCAGGCCTCTGCAAGGACAGATGGCTTCTGAGATCACAGAGGGAGATCATATGTCCTGTCCTGTGTGTTTCCAGCCAGTCACCTGCACCAGCCTTTGAAAGCACTGAGCTAATGGCAAGGGTGAACCCCTCAGAAGGTTTACAAGCACACCTGGTCCTATCCTCAGAGTCAGCCTTCTGTAAAGCCACTGCCAGGCTGGAAAGCATGGTCTTCTGTGAAAGCTTACACATGTTTGCTCAGTTCCTTTTGCTATGACCCGAGTTGTAAGACTGAGTGACATTTCCCAGCCTTCGAAGAGTGCACTCGTTTGCATTAGCTCTACTACCTTTTAGTGTTTGTGGTCTACGTATGGTAGGAGATCAGCCAATGAGAAATCATAATATTCCCAACCTTCAGAGGGAAGGAAAAAAGGGATGCTGTAGCATTTTCTGAATCTATTATAGACTAATTATTGCATGGGATGTGGCAGTGACAACTGAAAGGTTGGAAAAGAGATCAGAGGAGAAGTTTTGCCCTTCTTTGAGACTTTAAGATGAAGAATGGGAATGTCTCAGTGCCCACTGTTCTGAGAGTGAATCTTCTCTCATAAAAAATAAGAGAATGGTCCAGGTTAGGCTCAGTGACAGGCAGGTGTCACATTATTATTGAGGTCCAAAAAGTGACCTGCCAGCACCCAGTGAGTATGCCATTCCTAGAGAACTCTTGGGAAAGGATGCATTCAACTTCTGCATAACTACTCAGCTTTTTCCTCTGGGGGGGGGGGAGGGCAGGGTGAGACAGTTTGTAGCTTTGGAGGCTGTCTTGGAACTGACTCTATAGACCAGACAGGCCTCGAACTCAAAGAGATCCAGCTGCCTCTGCCTCCTGCCTCCCAAGTGCTGGGATTAAAGGTGTGCACAGCCACTACCAGGCACTTTTTAACAAAGGAGACACACTTGCATTTATGGCTTTTTCACGATGATGGTGTGAGAAAGCTCCATATCCCTATGCTTTGACCTCTCACAAATTTAACATATCAATCCCAAGAGTTGTTTTATTTTGTTTAACTAGGGAATAAGGCCAGGTTACTATGGGGTTTAGCTTGGTTTTTTGTTGTTGTTGTTGTTGGTGGTGGTCTTTTTGTTTTTTTAATAAAACTTAGAGTCTGTTATCACATTTGCTAAGGAAAGTTTATAAATAAAAATCCCACTGTCGGGCTGGAGAGATGGCTCAGCCGTTGAAGGCTAGGTTCACAACCAAAAACATAAAAACCCCACTGTCTTAGAGAAAAACAGACAAGACACTGGGTTTGCTTTTATATTTTGGGTGCTGTTCCACCAAAAGTGAGGCAGATCAATTCTTAAGAGAGATTGTAAAATACAGATGTTTTCAAAAATCTGTCACATTTATTTGTTGTTGGTGGTGGTGGTGTGTGTATGTAGATGTGTGTGCACACATGCGCATGTGCACACACACGCCTGCGTGCAGGCAAGCATGCACCACATGTGGAAATCAGAGGACAACTTGCTCGAAGTCTGTTCTCTCCTCCACCATGTAGACCCCAGAGAGCGAACTCAGATTGTTTCACTTGCAGCATAAACCTTTACCTGCTGGCCATTTCACAGACCCTCTTCTTAGTTTCGTTTCTCTAATTCTTTGACAATTTCACACATGCATACAGAGTGTCTAGATCATATTTACCCTCCACTTCCCACTTTGACTTTGTAGATCCTACCCGATATGACCTCTCCCATCTTTGTGTCCTTTTTTCTTTGTTTATAAGCACTTGAACCCAGTTAGTGTTTTTCTGGATGTACTTGGGTGTGGAGCCATCCACTTGAGCATGGGAAATGCACTAGCAGCCATACCTCCGAAGAAAAATGGCTCTCTTGAACAGGCAAGATGGCTCAGAGGTTGGGAGAGTTGTCTGCTCTTGTAGAGAATTTGAGTTCAGTTCCCAGCACCCACACTGAGCAGCTTACAAATCCCTATAACTCTAGCTCCAGGGGATCCAGTGTCCTCTTCTGGATGCCCTCTCTCTGTCTCTGTCTCTGTCTCTGTCTCTTTCTCTCTCTCTGTCTCTCTCTCTCTCTGTGTCTTCTCTGTCTCTGTCTCTGTCTCTCTCTCACACACACACTTAAGAGAAAAATTAAGAAAGAAAAGTTACTTCCTGCTCCTTAGCTAAGGTAAAGGCCTATCTATGAGCCCCTCTTCTATCCACGCTGTCCTATTGACTGGCTTGGTCTTGTGCAGGTAACCATAGCTGCTGTGAATTTGTATGACAACCATGGCATGGCCTGATGTTATTTCACAGCATTATGCATTCTCCAGTTCTCGCATCCTTTTTACCCCATCTTCTGGGATGTTCCCTGGGCCTGAGTCATAGTGACATAGGGGTTCCATTTATGGCTGAGCATTTGGCAGTACTTTACTCTCAGCTCTTTGACTGGTTATGTATTTCTGCATTAATTAATGCCTACTGCTAAAAAGACACTTCTCTGATATATCTTTGCATATAAGCATAAACGTTTAAAAGACATTTTGACAACACGAACATTTAGCCAAAAAAAAAAAAAAAAAAAAAAAACAGTAATAGGTCATGCCTCACTCACCCATCCAGGGCCTATGATCTTGCCAATCATGGGCTTTTAACCAAGTTGACAGTACTAGGAACTAACCCACTCTTATGAAGCAGGCTGTAAATCTATTTTTTAAATCTATTAGAAAAAGAAAGAATGAAAAGAAGAGAAAAAGCAGTTTGCTGCTCCCATAATAGTCATGTCACTGTTGACCTAGCAGGTACACCTTTCCTAGCATATTGGTATTGTAACATGTAGTGTTGAGCACTGAATGTGAGACTACTAATGCCTGTTCTGCCCAGCAACTGTCATAGCACCTCTGGCACTGTGTCAGCTAGCCAACAGAGAAGACATTTCTTTGTGAATTCCAGCCTGATTCTCTGTGTCCAGAAACCAAAGTGTGTGGTATCTTCAGCAACAGGGTCTCACTGTCATACAGTTGTGGTGGGCCGCCAAGATCAATGGACATTCCCTATGTGTATACCGCTGGGGCCTCCCTGACTACTGACTT